AAGAGCTCTCAATTTTGCTACTCTAAAGAGCTCAACTAGATGAATGTAAATAATAAAGCAATCTCTCAATTCTAATTACACTAAAGAGCTTGTATCAACTAGTTTGCAAGAATGTAAATAAGTGAGTAGGGTGATTATACCGCCAGCGGTATGGGGATGAACCAATCACAAGATAAATATATAGCCAATCACCGGAGAATGCCAAAGACAAGAGACAATTGATTTTCTCCCGAGGTTCACGTGCTTACCAACACACTACGTCCCCGTTGGCGACTAACACTTGGTGGTTGGTGGCTAAGAGGTGTTTCACAAACCTCGTCCACACGATAGGACACCGCAAGAACCAACCCACAAGTGAGGTAACTCAATGACACGAGCAATTTACTAGAGTTACCTTTTGCACTCTACCGTGGAAGGTACAACTCCCCTTACAATCACCGGAGATGGCCACGAACAATCACCAACTCGTGCCAATCCGTGCTCGAGGTGGTGGCAACCACCAAGAGAAACAAGCGAAATCCATGACATAAACACGAATGACAAGTGTCTTTAGATGCAATCACTCAAGCAATGCACTTGGATTCTCTCCCAATCTCACAATGATGATGGATCAATGATGGAGATGAGTGGGAGAGCTTTGGCTAAGCTCATAAGGTTGCTATGTCAATAAAATGGCCAAGAGAGTGAGCTTGAGCCGACCATGGGGCTTAAATAGAAGCCCCCCACGAAATAGAGCCATTGTACCCCTTCACTTTGGACACAACACGGGGTGACCGGACTCTCGGTCATATTGACGAACTATTTGGACCCGGCGTCCGGACGCCGATGTAAGCCACGTGTCATTCTCGAGTTAAACCGAGCCGGATCTCAACGGCTATTAAGCGACCGGACGCTTTCCGGCACAAGGCCGGACGTTTCAGACCCCGATGTCCGGTCGTTTCGAGAAGCTCCCAAAACTAACTTTTGCCGGCCGGACGACCGGTCCACCTCGACCAGACAACGCCAGAAGTCCGGGCAATAAAATCTTGTCCATGTCGGTCGGCCTTGACGGATGGCATTGGAGAGTGACCCAGCGTCCGATCGGTTGACCGACGTGGCATCTTTCGATAACTCCATTTCACTTCTAACTTCTCCACCCTTGCTCAAATGTGCCAACCACCAAGTGTATCACCTGTGCACATGTGTTAGCATATTTTCACAAATATTTTCCAGGGTGTTAGCATTCCACTAGATTCTAAATGCATATGCAATGAGTTAGAGCATCTAGTGGCACTTTGATAACCGCATTCCGACGAATTTCACCCCTCGAAAGCCGGATCGATCCTAAATGTGATCACACCGTAAGTGTTTGATGGCTAAAAAAACACTCGCTAAATGGCTCCTACAATTTATACCTTTCTGGATTTTTGTTTTCTCTTTCTTCTTTTCTAAGTTTAAGCATTTGATCATCACCATGCCATCACCATCGTCATGATCTTCGCCATTGCTTCATCACTTGGAGTAGTGCTACCTATCTCATAATCACTTTGATAAACTAGGTTAGCACTTAGAGTTTCATCAATTAACCAAAACCAAACTAGAGCTTTTAAGCGTGTGCACGAGCCGGATCCCGGCCTCCTACGTGTCCACCACCGGCACCGCGGGCCCATTGGCCATCCTAGCGAGCAGCTCGTGAAAGGATGAAGGAGAGGGCAGGGGCAGAAGAGGAAGAAAAGAGTCCCAAATGGCTTGGATGGCATTTTGGCGGGGTGGTCGTGTTTCATAATGGCAGTTCAGAAAAGTCTCGTTGCGGGATAGCAATCTGGCGAAGCCTACTTTCTATGATGGTCAAATTCCAAAAAGCTCGGATATTGGCACATTTGAAATCCTCCAAAAGCCGGAACGCAGTGGACAACCGTGGGTGTGGCAAAAACTCACTCCTCATCCGTTCTGGATTGAGGATGTCTCCTACAACGTGCAACCCGATGGATGCATCCTCTTCAGTACCAAGAGGGGTGTCACCTTTCATCTTCGATGTGTGGAAAAGATATGGTGATTGGGTGTTCCCCTTCACCGGCTGTGGACACTATGACCCCTCCCTGGAGGGCTTTGTCGGTCTCTCCAAAGACCCGGAGACCCTTGGGTACCTCTACTGGTGCACCATGGCCAGCACCGTGACTGGCCTCGACACTGGCAAAGTATTGCACCCTACTTCCTCTGATTTCAAGTGCGCCAAGGAGTAGGTGTACAACAAGAACCCAAAGTGTAGGCGACATGTAAGTGCCACCCTTGTGCTGATGCCTTATGGAGTGTGTCTCCATTGATAATAGTGATCGGGAGAGAGCCGAGGAGGTCCTTAGAAGGGGCTGGTTGCTTTATGTATTGTTTGAAGACCTTCTCCCTCAGTTATGACACCAAAGGAGACCTAAAGCTTAAATACTCCAAGGTTTGTTTCTACAGCCTGCCTCATGAAGCAAGAATTGGTATCATTTGTCAGGATCCAGTGGCATTTTGGCTGTGAAATGCTAAAATCATGAGATAATGAGTTCCTATGTTTTCATTCAGGTGTGACTTCTGCTTCTATGTTTTAGTTTGGTGTAATCTCAAACTGTAATCATGAGAGAAGCCATCGCAGGGTCAGTTCTATCGCTCTTTGAACTACATTTCTAACACAACACTCTTGAAGCAATGTTAAGAACAGGGTTAGTGTTGGTGTTTTGGATCACCGGCTAGTAAATTTTGTGATTTGCACGTCTAACCCGGATGGCAGTGCCCGAAGGACACAAGGGTTTATACTGGTTCGGACGAAATGTCCCTATGTCCAGTTTGAGGTTGCTCGTGTTACCGGCACTTGTTGTAGTAGGGGTTACAAACGGGCGAGAGATGGAGAAAGTCCCAAGTCTCTGATGGAAGGATCGAATGGAGTTGAGTCTAGTTGAACTCAGTTCCTTTCAGCGTTGAGCCGTTGCGTGCAGGCGTGTAGGCGTCTGAGTGTCTTAGCATCTTTTTTCCCTCGCCCTTCGTGGGGCATCCTATTTCCCCTTTTAAAGATGAAGGGGAAGGCATAAGTTACACGATAGAGAGAGAGAGAGAGAGAGAGAGAGAGAAAGCCAAGAGGAAGAAAGCCTCTGGGGTCGTAGCGCCCATCATCTCCTTTATGCGGGTCCCCTCAGTCCTGTAGATGATGACGGGGACGGCTTCACGTCGTGGCCCTGTTCATCACTGGCACTGTGCATGGGCGTCGTCAGCTGGTCGTGAAGCTCCAATTCCATCCCGACGAGCGACATGGTGAGCAGATATCCCCGCCGGAAGCCGTACGGGGATTAGGTAGCATAGCGTCGGCACGCCCGACACTATTGGCGACGCGAGTCTTTAGGTGCGGCCCGTCGTGGCTGCGGGTCACGTCAAGACGCGCCCGCTCCCCTTCTGGCATCAGAAGTTTGACCCTAGATTTGTACTCTTAGACCCGTAGTGATTGGGGGCGGTGCGGACTCTCGTCGGGCGAGCCGGAATCCCCCCTCGAGGGGTCGGACGAGGTGAAGCCGGCGCCTTCTGGGTCGGGTGAGGCGGAGCCCGCGCCCGAGGGGTCGAGCGAGACGGAGCCCATGCTCTCGAGATTGGGCGAGACGGATCCCGCGCCCTCGGGGTCAGACGTGACGGGGCTCTCGCCCGAGGGGTCAGGCGAGACAGAGCCCGCACCCTCGAGGTCGGGTGACCCGGATCCCACGCCCTCGAGGTCGGGCGAGATGGAGCCTGTACCCTCGGGGCCGGGCGAGGCCAAGATACGCTCTTGACCATCCGAGGGAGTTAGCGTTCGCATCCATCAGCTTCCTTCTTCCAGGTATCCTAATCCTGATACCCGACAGTTAGGCCAAAGGCATTTGACACAGAAGAAATGCTTAATTCACTGATATGCTGCAGTTAGTGGTTGGAACTGGTAGCACAAGCAATCCTCCTGCCATGCATGTACAATATGTTTTTCTATGAAGGGTGCTGGTCCATATCAAAATAATTTGACAATTACACGTTAAAACCTCTGTGTCAGTCTATGTTCCGCTGATAAAACAAGGGAAATTACTTACAGTTACTACTTTCTGATATTCAAGTTGCTTTTCTATAAAGTTGGCTAGGCTATTTGCATAAAGTTGTCTAGCTTCGCTGGGCGCTATAATCAGGTAGTCTTTTACACATAAACATCAAGTTAGTTAAAAGAGGAACAAGTTAGAGGACTCAAACTCTCAAGACTTGCAAGCAGAGGCTTTCTGGTTGTTGTATTAATGAGTGATGCTCTTTTGCACAATTGTATAACCCCCAATCTTATTTTTATACTTGTGGGATGACAACAAACATACAGCCTCTTCAGTAGTCGGGTTGTATAATTCAAGATGATGTGTCAGCAGAAATAAAGTGCTAGTGCAAGTATTTATTTTATAAGTCTAAAAATAGATACTAAAACATAATCCGACCAGGGAGATAACCACTAACATTGTTTACTTGGATACTAGGTCAGAGCAATTTTCAAATGAAAACACTAAACAGAACATATTATGACAAATATCAAGTCGTTATTTATTCATCTTCAAGTGCTTCCAAAGGTATTCAATTACAGAAAACTTATAACAATGCTATTGATACTTATGTCACCTTGGCATGTAAATTGCAAGTTCACGTGTTGTAAAATATGAGCTTACTTGTAACTGAGCATCCTGCTCCTTTACATGACAATTATTTTGATGCAAGAGCCTTCCTCCACCGGGTAGACGTACAAAAGGAATGCTACTAACATTTCATACTCCATCAATAGGCAATTATATCCTGCCAGTTCATCTTACAATGTGACCTGCAAAATTTTCACAGGATTCAGCGAATGGTACTGTGGAACTAAAGAAAATCAGGAACCAAAAAATAAAAGAAAAAAATGAAAGAAAACAATATATACCTTGTGCCCATTTTATCGAACACATTGATTGCATCATCGATGGAAGCGTCAACGCCGGCATTGAGTTCGATGGCCTGCGGCAATGGGGAGGACATGGGAGCAGCAAGGGGCATGGAGGCTGCAGATGCCCTCGTGCTCGGGCCCCGTCCCTTTCCGCGTGGGTGCAGGCACGGGCTACGCTAGGTCGTGGCTGGGTCGGGCTCCACCTGGGCCCTCTCCTTGGATCTCCGGCGGCGCAGCCAGGCCAAGCCGTCATCGAGCCGCGGGTTGGAGCAGGGGCGGCCGCGGCGCAACGCCCGGGGGAGGAGGTCGGAGGACGATGGCGAGCAGCCTCGCCTCCACCACGAGCTTCGGTCGCGCCGTCGCTCAAGAGCAGCCAGCTCTCTGGTGCCGGATGCGGCCGGCGGCGAGGTGCAGCTTGCGATGTGCAGGCAAGGGCGAGGGAGCGGGCAGAGAAATTGTTCGGCCCGCGAAGGTTAACGAGGGATCAGCCGATGTTTAAATCGGGTGCGAGACCCGAACCGATCCGTATCGGACAGCGCTCGATCCAACGGCTATCGGCTTAATGGACGATGTGGCCCTATCCGTTGGCCTGCTTTTGGTGCAGGAAAGAGAATTCCTATTACAGCAACCGCGTACGATCGCCAAGATATGTGCGTATAAGTAAAAAAACAGCATCAATTTTCTGGTGTTTCACTGGTGTCTGGTGAATGGTGATGAAGCTGTTTCTCGCGGAGCCGTTTGACCTCAAATTACGGAGAAATCGAAACTAAGCACGGCAAAGAAGGCCGAATTGCATCGGCACACCGCACACGGAGCCCGTGCCGAATTCGGTTCCCGCACGAGAAGAGGCCAGCCAAACCCGTTCTCTAACTCTTACAGGCCACAGCCCACGAGAAAATACACATGGGAAAGGCCCAGCCCACGACCGCTACTAGGTTGGGCCGTAGGCAGCGATCTGGTCCAGACTCCAGAGGCTTCCTACAGCCGGGGCCGTGCCCATCACTGTTGCTCGTGCACCTACCGCGCCGCCGCCGTAGCCGAGGACGCCGTCCTACTCTTGTCCTGTAGCTTGAACTTGTCAAGTGGCCAGCCTGCCCGGCCAGTAGGCGGTAGACTCGGACCAGGACCACCCGAACTGGCCCCGTCCGGAACCAACGACACACCGATGCATGCCCAGCTAGCTGCCTTTGCTTGAAGTTGAACAGGCTCGTTCCGCCAGAAAAACCAACGACGATTTCTGTCATTCCGCTGCGGATCGAATGATGAGCCCGTCAAGTTCTGGGCACACTGCTGACCGCAAACCACGCGAACATTTCGTGCTAGACTAGACGCAGCTGCTCTGCGCCTCCGCCGGCGAGCGAAGACTGGTAATGCAGCTGCTTCTGCGAGCAAGATGCTGGAGCTTTTACATCGGCGCATCGTATGAACACTCCCGACGTGCAACGCTATCCTGAGGCTCTGAAATGTGAGGTTGCCGAGATGCAGACGAAAGATATCCTTATCCCTCCGCATCCGCAGCTCGGATCCCTTTTTACCTCTGCTACCAACCCGAAGATCTTTTCACCATTTCCGGCGACGCGACTACTTCGTTTGTCCCATTGCTGTTCCGTATCCGCCAGTTGCACGTCCCGACGTCCCGTTGCAGGAAAAATCACGGCGGCTCGCCAGACTTTCACCGCCGCTCGCGAACAAGCGCCGCAACCCGGAAACCACGAGTAGCCAACGAGGGGTCGTCGCGTCCACGGGAGCGGCAAACCAAAGCGCCGAGCGCGCGGCCCGGTCCTCATCCGTCTCGCTCGCGTGGCGTCCGACGCGGCCAAAAATTCCGCGGGCGCTAGGCAGTGTTTTTTTATCGGATCTGCACTGCACAGGCGACGACTTGTCACTGGGTTTCACGGTTCACGTCCATCTCAGCCGCGCGTCACCTAACGCTTTGACAAAACGGCGCCCCAAGCACACGTGGACACCACCTAGTGGCTTCCAGATTAATCATAGCCCGCTTAATAGGGTAGCGTGCCCGAACATCACTACGGAATAGCTAACATTTTGTACTAAAAACACACGGATCATACGATAAGATAATAATACTGTAAAAATTAAATACCAACGTTAAAATGACATTCAAACAACCAAAAGTCTATTAACAGGCAACCTGAAATTCATGCGACACTTTTCACATAGACAAATATAATTGTCACAAATTTAATTCCATTGCCTAGTAACTACTGCTCTATTGAGATGTCCTCTGCAACGCAGAGCTCCATAGTCCATACTGGATATACATATATAAAATTGTCTTGCTTAAGTGAACACATCCTGATGTAAGGGTACTCCTCCTCAGCGTCGATGCATAGTCTTCTTGAGATAACTGAAGGTCATCACCATCAGCCCACAAATGCAAACCGAATCACAGAATTAGGTTCTGATGAATCACACTGCAAACCTTGATATGGCAGCTATGTCTTACTGTCACATTAAAGAAAACCAAAATACCAGCCATCTCTTCTCCAAGAACAGGAAAGAAACACCTCTGAGCTATGCTCAAGAGTCCTCTCCTTCCATGGCATTTCCTATCGCTGCCATATCACTGCTCGAATATAGTGCCTCATCAATTTTTGGAAAGTCAATTTTTGGTCTTAAGATAGGACTATCAGAACACAAAAGCAGAGGATTAAGAGCACACTACAAAAACGGCAACAAAAAAAGTGCCTTAAATTTTGTCAAAAATTATGTCTCCGGTCCTTGTTGCCATAAGGACCAAATGACCAACAACATTATTGTGTGGTGGTGTCATCTACAAAAATAGATATCAAGAACTTAAATAATTACTGTCCAAATAGATCTATGGAAAGCTAACCTAAATTGCTCTCCAAAATTTTCATATATGCACTCAACTCAACAAAGAAAAGAGGCCAACTCACCATGATTTGCTTCTTAATCACTGGATCAGGGCAGTGACACATCGTGAAAAAACAAGTGCCTTTGAGGTCATAAACTCGTGAAATATTGTGGCCAAATAGAAGACTTTCCATCACCGTCAAGTCGATTTTTACCTTTGTGCCATGCCTAATTTGCTTAACTTGAACAGGCAAGTGAGTCCAAATGAAAAAAAAACAAGAAAAACAAATTGAAATCAAACACAAGCTCGATATAACTACCTGAAAGATCTTTCTCTTGTTGTTAACAAGAAATACAAAGGACTGTTCCTTTCCTGTTTCAAGGGGTATCACGCGGAGCTTGTACTTGCAGTATGGAAGCTATGGTTAACTGCACAAGAAAATGTGTGAGCATAAAGACTTTCTTCAGAAAAAGTATTGACATGAACAAGATATGGCTACAAACAAAATGAAAACACAATGTTTAAAAGAGCCAATATAATAGTTCCTTCCGAAGCCAAGATCTTGTCCATTGCCTCTTTTGTAGATTTAAAAGAGCCCGACAAGATGACATATCACGAATATTTAAGGACAACTTGTGACAAGTAGTGATATTGGAACAGTAATGCCACTGCACTACAAGTTAATCAACCATAAGAGGAGTCAAAATAATGAAAATAAAAAATTAAAAAAAATTGAGGTTGCTTCAGATGTAGTGCAATTAAGCAAGATAGCAGGAAATAATGTCTTATTGAAACATAATGAGGAAGAAATACCTCACTTGATTAATACTTTAAGTAATTTTTGTCACTGTAAAGCTTAGTTTTTTTTGGAATCTTCACATTAGAGTTCAATAAAGAAATAGAATGATTGCTTATTTTAATCAGCACATAGCTTTTTTCAGCAGAAGTCGGTTTTGTCTAACTGCAAGAAGATTTAATAATGTTTTGGTCAGTCTCCGGAATTATATGAGCTGCTATGGTCATACATACCGATTAATCTCCATCAGATCCTTATAGCTCCACAAGAATCCTAAGATAAAAGAAACTGAACTAAATTAGGATTTAATCCTTGCCACAATAAAACTAAAAACATAAGCATGATTTATTTTCACTGTATATTAGAGCATTGATCTTTTTAGCATGAATACAAAAGGAAATAATAAGCTATTGCAAGGTCAACCTGTACAGATATACCTGTTCCCAAACAGCTCTTCATCAGGATCTAAAGTTTCAAGTATGTCCTCCATCTGTATGTTGCTCATGCCTGATATTCACCTGCATTATCCACCTGATTAGACATCCAAAATTAGTCAGAATATAATTTAGATTTTTGTTCTTCCTATATGCTCATTTCCGAATTCAATGTACAAGTAAGTAAGGTGCTAGTAAGAAAAATAACTTGCGTTGTCATTTTCATTAGTATGCATCTGCATTGAAATTAGAAATCTGTTTTCTTTCTATATATTTTATCACAAATAGAAAAACCAAAAACAATGGTTCCAGGTTCCCGTTCATATCTATTGTCATAGAATTCAGTCAGAAAGTGGAGAAGTTGTATGGCATATAAGCTGATTGCAAATGTCTTCGATACACATCCCACTATTTCACCGGAGAGCTCCTGGAGAACGCGGGCTCCTTCCCGGCAGCAGCATACCCTTTGTTACTCACATCAATTGCTAGACCAGATCCCTACTCCTTAGCTGGACTTGAGGCACACTCAGAAAATCGAAATCGTAACAGCATTCTGAAACTACCGAAGAAGAAGAACACACCGATAAATCCTTGGCCTTGGTGGACAACACCGCTACTCCACTGTCACCGGGTTATCGCCGAGCATTGCGATGGCGAGCCCATCTTCCTCCAAAACAGCCGATGGTTTGCACCATTCACCCATTTTTTCTCTCGTTCTATCTAATGTTATTGCACTAGTAGATAGTTTGTGACTCACGATTTTATTTAATAGTAAATAGACATGCTAGTTCTATCCTATAGATCCTGTTTTAAGTTTTACAGTTTACTCATGGCGGCAGCGAAACGCGGGCGCACGCACATGACCCCGCCCCGTTCTTATCGGCGGGCCACTCACGCTTTAGAAAAATCAGCGAGCGCGACGTCCCCGGCGCACAGGACACAGGCGCACGGCTGACAGCTGCGTGATGGGCGAGCAGTGCCCCGTCGGGCCCAGGACCTGTCGCTGCTCGGGACCGGATCGACAGGTCAGTTTCTGGCACGGTGTGGTGTGGGCTGTGGGGTGGGTTCCTATTCCTGGCTCCTGGGTGGATGGACATTGCGAAACGAATCGCGAATTGTGTGTTCGTCTGATCTGGAAATCTGGTCACTGAACGCCAGCCAAGCCAAGGATCCAGTTCTTGCATGTTTTCGGCAGCAAATTGGAGATGCTGCGAGTACCTCGAGATGTTGCTGTCCCTGAGCAACTTTACCGCTTAATCGAGCAGGAGCACGAGTAGTAATTGAGCAGTAGCAGAGTAGCAGCATGTGTGAAACTTTTTCTCTCTTCAATTGAACAGCTCCTCGTACGAGAAACGAGTTACTACTAAAATTTACATTTTTTTGCAGTTTTTTTATAAGACATTTTTTTGCAGTTACAGCTGTTTTTGCGC